AGAGAGAGAGAGAGAGAGAAATAGTGAAGAGAGGAGAAAAGAAAGAAGGGGTTCAGTGTGAATGATCTGCTGCCCCATACACTCCTTTATTTATAGCTTTTAGGATCCTTACAAGAATAGGAAATAAACAAAAAATAGAAACAATAAGGCCAGCCAGCCCAACTTCTAATAACAGAAATTAGAAAATAAAGAAACTAGAAACCACTAAAAAGAAATTAGAAACTACTAATAAAAGAAATTAGAAACAACTAGGTGTGGGTATGAAACCACACACACTAGAGCCTGAGTGTGGGTATGGAACCCCACACTCGTGGCTAACCAACTATTTCTTCAAGACTAAATTTGAGTATAACCAAATTGAATAAGAGTATTTTAGAACCTCTCAAACCATGTTGGAGGAGGTTGCTTAAGACCATAGAAGAGAGACTTCCTCAATTTGTAAACCTTCCCTTGTATATCCTTCCCATATATCCCAAGAGGAAGAGACACATAAACTTCTTCATGGAGATCTTCATTCAAGAAGGCATTCTTCATATCAAATTGATAGAGGGACCAATCAAAACATGCTACTAAGGACAATGAAACTCAAACTGGTGTCATCTTAGCTATAGGAGCAAAAGTCTCTAAGTAGTTTATCCCCTAAATCTACGTGTACCCCTTTGCCACAAAGCGAACCTTGGACCACTCAATAGAACTACCGGCATGGTACTTGATAGTATGGATCCACTTACATCCAATCAGCTCCTTTCCCTTAGGCAACTTAACAATATCCCATGTATCATTCTTATGTAATGCTTCTATTTCAGTTTTCATAGCATCCCTCAATTCCAGTTTATATAAAGCTATTAAAATACAGTGTTCTTCGTAGGGTTATTTTAGTCTTTTTCCCTCTCCATTTTAGTTTTGTTTTGTCTCTGTTCTCAAATCATAGTATCAGGGGTAATTCTGTAATTTCCATTTCATTATGAATATAAGCATTATAGGGGTGGCAGTTGTGTATCTCTCGATAGAGATTGTTTGCCCTATTCTCTTCGTATTCTTCTTCTCTTCTTCTCTATTGCTTCTCTTCCTGGGACTGTACCAGGAGTTTTTCTTTATTTATTTGATTAAATGCAGGTCTGATAACATGGTGTCAGAGCCTGGTTGATCGATCTACTCGACTGCAACTGTGAAGGACACTTGAGATTGCATCGGCTGAAGTTTTCTGCTAATAAAAGGTGAAAGGAAGGGAAAGAACCAAAAAGGACTGATCGCCCAAAAGGTTAGGAGGCTTCCATGCCTCAAGTTGCACCATTGATTGGTTGTTTGATGGTGTATTAGACTCCCTCTATTTGGTAGTTCGAAGAGGGACTATGAATGTGCAGGTCGGATGACCATTGTTTGTTTTGGTGAGTTGATTTCTGTGAATGGTGAGGTCAGTTGACTTGTAGAAGAGTTTCTTGTGTTGATGTTCCATGTTAAGGGGTTACGACTGTTAGAGTTGATAGAATAAGGGGTAGTTTGGTCTTTTTGTCATTTGATTAAAAGTGAGTTGTCTATTTTATCTGTGTTTAAGGTGTGTGTCCCATATTTAATGTGAGACATAGTTGTCTTTTGTATCCTAATTCATAAGTTATAAATACAAGGTAGGTTGGCTGAGAGTAGATGATTTTCTCTCTAGTCAAACCCTTTCTTTCTCTCCTCTCTTATTTCTCTTATTCTCTATTTCTTTCTTATTTCTGAACTAGGACTGAACTAGTGTCAATTGAAACACAAACATGGTATCAGAGCACTAGAAATCAGTTTGCTTCCTTCCTCTCTTTTCTCCTTGGATCGCCATATCAGATTTGAGTTTTTTTGAAATTTCTCATCAATCAGTTGGAGGATCGGTAAGGGGCCAAAAAGGAGTGATTGTTTTTCCTTCTAGGAGGTAACTATGCCTCCAGTTGTTGTGGTGGTGTTCGTCTTGGTGGTGTACTAGAAACCCTCTACTCGATGACTCGAAGTGGGCAGGTTCGTGGACAGGTGTGAACAGAAGTCTATGGTTGGCTGATAGTTTGGTGTTTTCTCTCTCTTTTGGACTGGGTTTGAACTATGTGTGTGACAACAGTAGGGTTTTTGGTGGTGTACTAGTGCTGATTGATAGGTACGTGTAGGTACGTGTAGGGACGTGTAGGTACGTGTAATTTCGTCTTGGTGGTGTACTAGTGCTGATTGATAGGTACGTGTAGGGACTGTTTTTGGATCCTATTTATATCTGAATGTGTGTGACAACAGTAGGGTTTTTGGTGTTGAACCCTATGACAATGAGTGTTTCAGCAACAGCAACTGTGTGGTGTGTGTAGTGAGTGCTGAATAGTGAAGAGTGATTTCTTTGTGATTGATCTTTTTTATAATGGCCACAATCGGAGAGGGTAGTGATTATAAAACTGATGTAGTGATTTCCCATAAAATGTACAAATGACCCCCATCAAATTAAATGGTGAAAACTATGTGCCATGGGCCAAGTCGGTCGAAGTGTTTCTGAAAGCCAAGGAGAAGGTGAAACATGTGAAGGGGGAGAAACCCTCGTCTGGCTCTCAGGGGTATAGTGAGTGGGAACAGGAGGATGCACAAATTATCGCTTGGTTGTAGAATAGCATGGAATCGAAAATTAGTGTGAACTTTATGTTCTTGGATACAGCCAAGGAGATTTAGGACCATGCTAAGAAACTTTATTTTGGATAAGATAATACCACTAAAGTATACCAATTGTATCAGGAGTACTTTAACTTGAACAGGGAAAACATAATAAAAGAAAGGTATGATTGCTCTGATACCAACAACAAAACTAAACTGAGTTGGATAGGTGTTTGCTTGGTTAAGTCTGGATTTGGATTGTGTCAGAAATTTACCCATCTTTCCAAGATTTCTGGTTTAAAAACGCTGACTAAAATATGTCTTTTAGGTATCAGTTTGACAATTGGTAGTGTGCTACCATTGTTCTTAATTACCTTTTCTTGGCTCTAGTTTACTAACTATAATGGCTCAATTACAGATACTCGTTTCAAACCCCAGAAGGTTGGACCACAGACGACCAATACCGTTCTTTGGCCTACATGCGTCCTTTGGCAATATGGGCAATGCAGTGGGCCTTGTCGCCACCAAAGCTGTTCATAAAGGAGAGAGGGTCAGAAACAGAAGAGTATCCTAAATTCATGCACCACTCTGGATTCTCAAAAGTTGCTCAACTTCTTAAATTGCCAGAAGATGAAGCATCTAAGAGTTTTCTCCAAGTTGTTTATGACTGCACTTGCAGGAGAATGTGGATGTGAAGCTCAATTCCTTAGCTACTAATTATTTTGAATACTAAAAGAACAGAATACTGGGAACATTTATAACTGCATGTCAGAAGATTCTAATTGTTATGTCAAATAATGCCTTTATTTGAATTCTATGCCAAAGGATCTTAGAACTCGGATGCCTGTACATAGAAGCTGACTTTCTGAGTCGTGTTTCACAATTGACATTTTTAGCATAAATTCTGTGTCTATCCATTGTGCAGAAAAACCATTTCATCTTGTAACAGGTATGTGACAGGATCGATGTAGATAAACCATAAAAACTTGAAAGATGGCTTGCCAAACCAAGCTGAATACAAATGCCAATAGCCAGACACCTCCAGAGATGGCATGCTTAAGGAAAAGATAAGTGTTCTTTTGTATCACATGAGCAGGCATCTTTTGGCATCACACTGAGAACCAGCATGGTTTTTTGTAGCTGTAAAATGTCATTGGTGTTTGGCTTTATCCCCCGAACACAGTGAAGCAATTGCAATTAAGGAGTGTCTTCTTATCTCAAACTTGAACTTTTGGACGTTGCTATTGGGAGTGACTTTAAATCTCGGATTGACTCTCTGACCAAGTCTGAGATGATGGAAACAATGAAACCTGGTTTTAACTGAGAGGGAAGGAAATGGTGTGGCACACAATTTGGCCAAAGGGGCCCTTAGATGATGGCTTCTGGACACAAGTCTGTCATTTTGGCTATTTCTAGGGTTTTTTACAATCTTCTTGAGAACTGGTTCCAACTTTTTTTATTTACAATTCTCACGGACAAATCTATAATGTGAGCCCCAAGTGAGATCACCACATGCAAATTAGTCTAGAAAAAATATTGTCCTAAATCGTCATGGGAAGAGAAAATAAAATTGAAAAGAAAATGTCAAAACAAAACAACTAGATCTCCTCCTATTGCCCCATTTGGCATTTGGAGTTGATCCTTGACTGCTATAAATAGAAACTAAGTTCTTTACATTAAAATCTTGGTCCTAATTGGTTATCCATACCACGTACCATTCTACTCTGATGCCATTGCCATTACAAACTTGTTATAATGGAATTTCTCAAAAAAAAAACTAATTTTCTAAATTCAATAAAATAAAAATAAATTTGCAGGGGAAACCAGATCTTATGTGATCTGCCCCTTACAATCCCATTAACCCTACTACATCAATCAAGCAACGTTTAAAGTATCGGAAACACAAGGTGTATTGGAAAAACAATTTTAAGAGATGTATCGGGATATGCTTTGGATACATATGGATATGAACGAAAAATCAAGATACGCATAAATATAGTAGAAAATTCAAATAAATTCTAAAAATATATTACTAACAATATTTATAAATTTTATATGATTGTAAATAAGTCATTTAAATGTAAAAAAAATCATAATTTAATAGTTTATATAAAGTGGACATATCATGACATAATTAGTAACCGTTGAAAAGTGAAGATTTACTTATCAGGACATATTAGGACACAATTATTAAATTTCAATAATTAATTCTAGCATTTACTAATAAACACTTATCACTCATTAAGAAAAGTGAAGATTTACTTAAAATTAAAAATACATATGATCATAGCAAACAAATATTTGTGGCTCATTGGCGAACTTGTGGTTGTTAAACTCAAGTGACCAAGGTTCAATCTTCCTATAGCTAAAATTTGAAGTTTTTACACTAACAAAATGAAATTAATGAGAGGGGATCATTAATTAAAGGAATTAATGAGAGAATTTGAATTAGGCGCTAAAATTCAAATCTAAATTTAAATTTTCTTTGGAGTAATTAACTAATTAATGAAAGAGAAAGTAGACTTAAATACAGGAGTAACAACATTAATGAGAGATTCAGTATTAAATATTGATTAATGAAATTAATGATGAACCGAAACGATCAAATGTATTGAACTGTATCGGAGTGTTTCGGGCCCCTATCGATTGATACAGATCCGAAACAGGCCTATACGGGCCCGCATAAGTTGATACATACGAAAATAAACTGAATAAAGGATTTATACACGTTCTGTGTATCGGGTTCTTGTTAAAACAATACATATCGGCCGATATGGCCCGATACGTTGCGATATTTTGAACCTTGCAATCAAGTACATAAAATTACAACAAAAAATTATAGGAAAATTTGGAGGAAATTACAATAAACTAGTCCAACCACTTGAATTGTTTGGGAGAGATGAAAGACCACAGTAATTTTCTATTCACATCTAACTTTCCATCATCTATGAAATGAAATAAAAACATAATCCAAGGCATTAATTGATTCAAAGAGAGATTCTATTAGCAATCTACAAAATAAAATAAAACAGTAACCTTTAACTCTTTTCAAGAATTTCTGCTAGTGTGAGCTTGGCGGTTAGCATTAAAAATTTTTGCCAAACTCTCATGATATGGATCCCAATTTGTCATTCTATGCTCATACTAGGGTGTTCTAGAAATAATGTGCGCAGCCTAACTCGAGTGTAGTGTTAAGTAGGCAAGGGTATGTTAGGATAATCTCCATAAGTGATCCACCAATGTAACACTCAATTATGGTAAATGAGCAAAGGTTCTTACATCTTTTTACATAAGGGCAAGTAACAAAGCTAGTCCAACAAACACGATTTTGTTTAGCTACTTGGAATGCAGGAGCATCAACAGAGAAAAAAATTATGAAATTAGTAGACACTATGAAGAAAAGAATAGTTAATATTGCATGCCTACAATAAACTAAATGGAAGGATAAAAGCTACAAAAATTGATGGGGACAAATTATGATATATACGAAAGAGGTAAATAATAGAAATGGTGTAGTAATAATAGTATATAAGGATTTAAAAATGAAATTATAAATGTTAAAAGATTTGGGGATACAATAATTTTAATTAAACTTGTTTTATGTGAGAAATCATTAACATAAAGAGAACATTAAGACAATTTTGAGAAAACTTGGATTAATCCAAATTTTCTAAATAAAGAGAATATTTTTATAGTAAGATACTTAAATAGGCATGTAGAGAAAAAAGTGTAAGATATGATATAGTACATGGAGGATTTGATGAGCTTTACAAAAAATTAAGCATTAAAAAGGGAAAAAATGAATATATAAACTAGCAAAGCTAAGAGAAAGGAAATGTAGAGATTTAAGCCATACTAGATGCATTAAAGATGAAGATCAAAGAATATTGGTAAAAGGTGAGAAAATCAAACAAAGATGGAAAAACTATTTAAAAAAAATGTTAAATGAACAATAGGGAGATGATGCTAATGGACTAAGCCTAGGCCCAGCCTAAAAAAATTAAAAAGCTCAAACTTTTGAATTGGGCCTAGACCTAGTCAATTAGGTTGCTCAAGCCCAGCCTGGCCTTATCCCAACTGAAGCTTAGCTCAACTATTTGCATACATGTATGCATATATAGGCATGTATTTGCATGTATACATGTATATATGCATATTTTTTGGTAAACCATACATGAATGCATACATGCATAATATATATTAGATTTTGGTGTGGGCTAATTGATTAACCTGAGCTTGGCCCAAGCCCGAGAGAGAGGATCATGGCTGAAGTCTTTAGGCCTTGTTTACTTTGTAGTGCAATTTATTTGCTTTGGTGCAAAAGTATGAGAATTCATTGTAGATTTCACTTTGTTTTGTTTTTTTTGCAATGCAAAGAAAATAAAATAACAATAAAAGCAAAATAAAGAAAAATCGGAAGCAAATATAAACCAGAATTTGCAAAACTCTCATTTGTACTAATAAAAATGAAATTGCTTTGCAGACAATGATAGGAGTTCACATCCTTGCGTGAACCCTCCAATCAGAAATGAGTACGTCGACAACTTAGAAAATCACTAACGTTAAGGGAGTTTGCACGTTAGTCGAAGGAATCCGATTGAACCGGACACAAAAGGACAAAATCCCATTTTAAGTCATTTGGGATTTTTGAATTCCCTCCCATTTTCTTCTCTCCTCCACAGAGCTCTAATCCATAAGCATCCCACAGACGACCCCACTACAAACCGGCGTAAGAAACAATCGGAGGTCATCACATATTGTCTCTCTCTCTCTGCGACTCAATTCCAACCAAATTCCAAAAACCCCCTGTTATTCGTAGTTCTTGATCAGACACCACACCCCAAATCAATTGATCGAAGAAAAACATGCTAAATATATATAGAAAGAAATCTGACCGAAGAAAAACATGTTTGAACGAGTTGTAGGTTTTACAATACGGGGGAGAGAGAGAGTTATAAAACTTGTATATGTGCAATATTGATGACCAGTATTCAAGAGAATCTAAATGATATATACCTATCAAACAAGTTAAACCGAATTTTTACAAAAATGCAAAGAGATTCAAAATAAGAATGCTTGACAATTTTCACAAGCTTTTCTTTCCCTTGATCTTAAACCTTGTTTTTGTTTTTGAAGGAGGTTTTGTCTGATGGGTCCCTTTTGTCGACTGATGGGGTGTTTTCCTTTTCTTCATGGTGAAGGACAAAAAAGCATAGGGGTGGAGTCTAGTTTGGGAGAGGGGGGGTTCGAAAATCTACCGTCGTTGATAGATTTCATGTTCACAAAACGCCAGTTTGCAATGAGGTCGCCAGTGGGATGCTTGGCTCGGCGGAGGAGAGGAGAAAAGATTCCTCGCAGAACAGCTCAGTGACCCTCAAGTGATTTTTGAACACGCCAGTGTATTAATCAGTATCGATTTGACGTGATATTTTATCTTTTCACCATACACTAGTGTATTCAATAATCACTGTCAGTAGGAGTCACTGATATTGGAGATTGGATCTCTGTGCAACCCGTTCTACATAACTTTCTCTACATTTAAACATACCACGACACATCAGCATCACTTGTTTCATTTATTTAATTATTTTAGAAAATTATTCATAGAAAAAAAAAGTTTTGACCATCTAACCCAGTCGTAAGAAACAAATTTGGTGGATACGATTTTTATTCTTAATCAATCAGATTGCCCACGTTTTCACCAAACCTTTTCATGTTACTTGGTTCAGTCTTCTTCGAGACAAAAACAACGTGGCTCCCCAGCTTCAGCTCGAGGGGGTGTTAGTTATTCGTCTCTCCTACATAATCTCGTCAGTTGTAAGTAGACCCGTTCATGGGCCGGGTAGCCCGACGGCCTGGCCGGGCTTGGTCATATAATTAGGCCCGCGGGCCTGACCTCGGGCTTAACACA